GTCCGTCTGTCCGTCGGTCCGTCGGTCCGTCTGTCCGTCGGTCCGTCTGTCCGTCCGTCCGTCTGTCCGTCCGTCCGTCTGTCCGTCCGTCCGTCCGTCCGTCCGTCCGTCCGTCCGTGTGTCAGTGTGTGCGTGTGTGTCCGTGCGTGCGTGCGTTCGTCCGTCCGTCCGTCCGATCGATTGGATCGATTGGGCCGATCGATTGAATTGTCTGTTTGCAAATGTTGTATTTACTTGAGGTACTTTTACCACAATGTCTTTCCTTCTTCTCTTCGAAATATTTAGATCTAGTTTAGAGGCCTACGTTGTCTGATTACAGTTTGAGTGGTATATAGTTTCGCTACAGTGGCTAAATTTGATAGATAAAATTGTATAATATTATTTTCAATTGTTACAGTAACACTTCCTGCTGAGCTTAAAATACTCGCACATCTGGTGCCTCCAAAGGGAAGAATTTCAAAAAAAATTAAGTTCACTACTCAGGAAGCAATTGACTCCTTATATATTTGTGTGCCGGTATGTTTTTTTTAATAGCCCCGCCCTAGGGAAACCCTGTGTCGCGGGTGCCATGGATATACACATAAACAATCACAAATTACACTCAAACTCACGAGAGAAATAAATTTAGGCCATACAAATATTTCTCCCAGCCCGGGAATCGAACCTGGGACCTCTGCGTTGGCAGTTCGGCATGGTAACCTTTCGGCCACGGAGGAATTTATATATGTCGACTCATCCGAAGTCCGATATGATTATATAACGAAAAGAGAATAAGTACGTTACGAGAATAATTTCGTTATTCAAACTAAGGCCTGTGTAAAGGCGTTTTGACAATTTATATATCTTATTTCGTTTCGAAAATACAAAATCCAACAACAGTCGATCTGACATTTACAGCGAAGAAGAACAAACGAAATGTACTATGTCCTGAGAACAAGTAGTCTTGCACATATAGATCTTTGTTCTACGGATGAGTAGGTATATATATATATATACATATACATATATAAAACTGTCTCCTGTATATAATATATATATGTATTTTTTGTTTTCAATATTTATGCCTCATATGCCTCATTTATAATATTACTTTGTGGTAAAGATTGGCTCACAAATCTGTTGTGGCTACTTATTATGTTTCATTATGTACTCTTAATACTATCTTAATTTCTAGAATGCTGGCGATATAGACCAAGTAATCAAAGAACAAAAACAAAAGGCGACAAGCAAGAAATTGTCTGTTCAACCCTATGTTATACTCCAGGGATCTTTGCTAGAGTGTGGTTCACCGTTACTAATAGTAGATGATGTAAGATATCAATTTTTAACCATAACAAAAGCTTTTGATACTCTTTTTAAACTTTACCATACCTTCAACGTTAGATATCCCAGAGCAGGCGACCATTTATATTTGATCATACAAAGATGTGTATATAATATAGAAACTAAGTACGATAACGTCGTACCGTATATAATTGACGTTTTGAATATGTGATTTAGCTAAACACCACTTTCAAGGTTTCATAAACTCAATCAGAGCAGGGCCCACTCCCAATTGAGTTGTTCATGCTATTCTTTGAAAAAAAAAACAGTTTATACACAGACTTTCAATTAGAAAGAATTTTCTTACCACTTCTAACTCAGTTACGACAATTTATGCAACAATAATTGCTACAAGTGATATTTACAATATTGTTAACCTGATCAATCTCCGACTAAAACTCTCTGTGTTTCGCTTATTGTCAAAATGGATTTGAACTGTAATTACTGTCACAAAATACTTCATGATTTTAAGCAATACATTTTTCATTTAGAAACTATCCATAAAATAGGTAACTATTTTGTCTGCCCTTTTGAGAGTTGTAAAAGAACATATGATAAAAAAAATCGTTTTAAAAATCATTTAACAACGTGTTACAATTCAAATCGCAATAGGAATAGTACTTCTTGTGACAATAGTATTAATATCAGTAACTCCATCCTGTCCGAACAAAGTTCATTTCCAAGTACCAATGATACACACCAATCTTTTGACACATCACCGTCGAATGATAAAGACACTGGAAATGAATCTTTTATAAAATCTGTAAAATCATACTTAAATATATTTGTATGCAATTTATATGGGTTTGTTAGTTTACCAAGATCTTTAATACAAACTTTGATAGAATTAGTTCAAACCTTAATCCACAACATCACTTCAAATATACACGAAACAGTTAATAACGAACATATAGATGCCACTAAAAGAAACATTATTGTACTAGAAATGATATTAGCATTACCAGACATATTTAAAGACTACGATACAGAATATAAGCGCTTGAAAAATTTAGTTGACAATGAGTATTATGTAGCCCCTGTAGAAGTAAAGATCGGAACTGTCAAAGATCGACGTAGTGAAAATAATGATGTAACAATGATGCTAAAGGAAAGAAAACTTTACATGACACCACTTAGACAAACATTAAGCAATTTTTTAAACTTACCTGGAGTACTTTCTCACATTCTTAATTATCAACAGATGCTTTTGGACGAGAGTAATGTAAGTAACGGTGATGTGATTCGAAATGTGATTCAAGGATCGTTGTGGAAAGAACTTTCGGCTAATATAGACAAAGACAGTATCGTTATCCCTTTAATTTTGTATTTTGATGATTTTGAAAGTGGCAATGCCCTAGGAAGCCACGCTGGCGAATATAAGTTAGGTGCAGTTTATATTTCTATTGCAACTATTCCGCCAGAACAATCAAGTAGGTTAGAAAATATTTTTGTGACTCAAGTATTTTATTCAAAGGACAGAGTATTTTTTGGCAATGGGGCAATTTTTAACAAATTAATTGAAGAACTTAAGTTTTTAGAAGAAGTTGGCGTTGGTGTTTTATTGTCCAAAAATATCATTACAGTAAAATTTGTATTAATAACTTTATCTGGAGATAACTTAGGACTCCACGGCGTATTAGGACTTTTCGAAAGCTTTATGGCTACATATTTCTGCAGGTTTTGTTTGACTACCAAAACTGAATCTGAAACCCAATCGTGTGAATTAAATAATCTACGAATGCCTTCTGAATACAATCAACATGTTGAAAATCGTATAGGAATTAAAGAAATATGTGTTTGGAATAATTTGAAATATTTTCATATTTACAATAATGTTACATGTGATGTGATGCATGATCTTACGGAAGGGGTACTAAGGTATGGAATGGCCCTTGTGATTAGAAGTCTAATAGATAAAGGATATTTCTCACTAGATCATCTGAATTCTAGGATAAAGTACTTTAAGTACAATACTAATGAGAAAAACACACCACCACCAATCAATAATCAACACTTATTAAACAAAAGTTTAACTATATCTGCTTCTGAAATGTTATGCCTTACAAGAAATTTTGCTTTTGTGGTTGGAGATTTAGTTGAAAATAACGACCCCGTTTGGAACTATTATTTAATATTATTGGAAATAACAAATGTTCTCACTTCCCATTCGTTTACTTCAGACCTAATAGATTACTTAAAAAGTATTATTGAAGAACATCACCAGCAATACCTTAATTTATTTCAAAGTAAATTAAAACCCAAACATCATTTCCTTATTCATTACCCTACAATTATAAAAAAAATTGGGCCGCCTATACTTATAAGTGCTTTTAAATACGAAGCGAAACACAAAGAGTTAAAAAAGGTTTGTCAGTCAATAACATCACGAAAAGATCTTCCTCAATCTGTTATGAAACGTTGTCAACTAAAACAAAGTTTTCGATATGCAACTGAGAAAGGTTTGACGGATAATCTTTTGTATGGTAAATATGAATTTGATGAAGGCCACTGTGGTGCAGACAATTGCATTTATGTTGATTGGTGTGAATTAAACGGAATTAGGTATACCGTAAATAATGTTTTGCTACAAGATATAATTGAGGATATTCCCAAATATTATATTGTTAACAAAATAATGATTAATCATTGTACTAATGACATATTATTTAAATGTTTTTTTTTAGATATTGTTCATTATAATGCTCATTTCAGAGCATATAAAGTAATACAAACAACACGTAGTCGTACTATTGCGTATGTAGACTTGTACACAAATTTAATTTCTGTACTGTATAAAGTAAAATTGGATTCCTATGTTAAAGTTGATTTTTGATGTATATTATATTGTACTGTGATGTCGACAAAACGAGTACGTGCAAATCCAAAGCTATTTCAGTGTTATGAGTAGGTACAGTCGCTGTATGAAGATTTATTATTTTGATTTCGGCTGTTTTAGTGTGATTGTTTAAATTATTCAGAAGGGTTGTTGCAGTGCAAATTTATATAAAATAAGTAAGTTACGTAAACAAGCCCTAAGGTTTATTGAATTATGGTTTGTCACACATATATGCATATATGTAGGAACACGAATTTTATTTCTGTGAGTTTTAATTTAATTTTCTATGTTAAAGTTTTTCATGTCAATAATTCATTTTGTATTTTACTAATATTATGCCAGTATTGTATACGTGTACGAAAAATAAACGTTTTTTAATTTATTTCCTAAATAAGTATAATCTTTTTATTATTTAAGTCGTTTTGTGTCAAGTATTTTAAGCCTGCAATTTTATTTTGTTTAAATTTGTGAACAATTCTCAAAAAAATACAACCGTTTTCAAGAAGCAATAATTATAATTTGATAAA